GAAGAAGAGGAAGAAGAGGAGGAAGAAGAAGAAGAGGAAGAAGAAGAAGAGCAAGAAGAAGAGGAAGAAGAAGAGGAAGAAGAAGAAGAGGAAGAAGAAGAGGAAGAAGAAGAAGAGCAATAATAAGAAGAGGAAGAAGAAGAAGAGCAAGAAGAATAAGAGGAAGAAGAAGAGCAAGAAGAAGAAGAGCAAGAAGAAGAAGAGCAAGAAGAAGAAGAGGAAGAAGAATAAATGCAAACAATGCAATCAACATCAAAGACAGAGCCCGTGGATTGGGCCTGTGAGGCCCGTTGGGCTCATGGGGCCGGTGCGACTGTTGGGGTCCATTCTTGCCTTTAAGGCACTTGTTACTACTAGCTTCTTGTTACTACTAGTAAGGCACCTGTTACTACTAGCGTGGCACTTGTTACTACTAGCTTCTTGTTCTGAGTGCTGTGGAACAACGAATCCAAACAAATATCCTTGGTGTGAGGCCGGCAAGGATGCTCCTTTGCTTGTGGCTCTCAGCGCATCTTGCAATGCGACTGATCAGAATGGACATGCCGTGTGTGCGTACATCCCACAAGAGAATGTAGGTATGGTATGTCCAGATATGAGCATCGTGAGTCATATGTGGTTTCATTGTCACGCTGGACGTAAACCTCGAGAAAAGTGTATGGACTTTGCCTTGAGACAAACTTGCCTGCCACCTGTTTGAGTGAGCCCATTCCTTTCTGATTCTACTCGCATCCTAGTTTGAGTTTGAACAGCAGCTCCTCTGGAAGCATTTGAGGTTTACTTCACCAGCTACTTTAGTACCTGGCGGATTATGAGTGAAGCAACAGCTTCTCCTGCTCCTCTTATGGAAGAAGCGCTACGACACTTCCTCCAGAAGTCGCTTGGAATTCGATAACGTAGATGGCCTGAATGAATGAAAACACACACACACACACAACCCCGCCTGGACAACATGTGACCCATCCGTGGATTTAGAACAGTGTTGACAATCATGTGATCCCTCCATCAGGATGCGACGGCTTCCTGATACTGTGGTGATTTATCGCGGTGGGGTCAGCGACAGTCAGCAAGAAGTCATTCTGGAGCGACTGGTCTTAGGTCTTGGTTCTTGGAATCCAACAGATTCACTCGTTGCATCGACTACAGTCAAGAACTTTCTGTGACCTTTTACATGAAACCACCTGACCATGTTGACTATGGGTAGTGTTATTTACAGGAAACCACCTGCTGATTTGATTGTGCAGGAGCATGAGATGCACCATCCCACCGAAGGGATCCTGGCGGCCTTCGACCGATTGGCGGAGGCTGGGGCCGACCTATCCCGACCTATCCCGACTTGTTACTACTAGCTTCTTGTTACTACTAGTAAGGCACCTGTTACTACTAGCGTGGCACTTGTTACTACTAGCTTCTTCTTTGGTTAGGTGTTCTTTCTCTTTTGGAAGGTTCGATGTTTTCCAAAGCGCAGCTGTTTTTGTCACCTCGTAATGTGGAGGTGGAGGGGCAGGAGCCTTGGCGATCGAAGGTTTCTGTGGCGTACATCATGGTGAGAAGGCAGGATGGGCCGAGGATTTGCTGCCTGACTTCCTTGCTTTGCACGCAGGGCCTTTGCTCAAGAGGGTCTCTATAGAGTGCCAGATATGGTGGTGTCCTGTTGAGCTCATGGTGTCCTTTCTTCCACCTTCCTTTAAATCGAGTTGCCACAAACCCTGCCTTCCTTTTGCTATCCAAACTAGTTTTGCTGCACTCAAACGTCAGAAGATAGAAGGAATCACTGGCACAGGAGCATGAACATTCGCTTCATGACAGAAGAGGGAGACAACCTTCCCAGTGGCAGCCGCTCGTTTTCTGAATTTTCAGAATCCAACCTACTCAAGTCTGAGAGAGCAGAAAGAGTTCCTGAGTTCCAGAGGCACTGAAGATCTTCCATTCTCCGAGGTTACATCGACGAAGATGTGATACCAGGTGCAAGAAACGCACCCTAGCAGCTCTAGGAGCCTACCATCACTTTTGTGTGTAGTGAAAGAGGCCATTGTACAACAAACAGTGACACCCGCTCTTGATGCAACGTTGCACGCGTTGCACGTATGGGAGGGGTTACACATGACTAGAGGAACTCATCCAATGCACCTAGACACATCGTGGGACTTCACCTCCAACAGGCCTTGATGCAGACAATCCCGTGCGCTCTGTGCCCTGGAGGGGAATCAGAAACTCTGATCTGGTGTTTGTCTCTTTGGGTATTATATAAGTATCATCAAACATTCAATAGGTGTTTCTCACCGCCGTTTGAAGCTGAAGATTTGAGGCGTTCTCACTCAAGTCCAATTTCCTTCGATAGAGCAGTTTGTTTTGATCATGGCTGTACCATCCGGGGCAAGATCGGTCAGTCAAGGCAATTTATCGTATTGAAAGGATCATCAACCAAGGATTTCTATATGATCTCACAGACCTATGTCAGAGGCACTGCCCGGCCCACACTCTACACCGTGTGTCTTGGAAGGCATGACAAATCGCCGAGTCTCGGCACTTGAGTTTTTACAGGTACTCTTTTCTTTTCCTTAGATCCAAGGCTTTACAACACCCTGAACTTTTCGAAGATGGAGACCATGCAGCTCACATACCGTCTTTGTGGTGTTTATATGACCTTTGCCGGAAAGGACGCTCGGCTACCAAGCGTCCTAGCCTTGATCGCTTTCCGGTACCTTCTCGGTCCTTGCTCTCGCCTTTCGCGTGGTGCTGCAGAAGCCTCTGGCATTTAGATTCAAACTACTGTAGTATAGGAGCAAAGGCTTTTGATCTAAGTAGCAATCCATTTCTGGAACATTTTGGACCATTTCTGGGACTAGATGGAGGGACTCACTGAACCGCCCCCTTCCCCGGTCCAAAGAACCTAACCCTGATTGGCAGTGAAGAACAAGAGCCTTTGGCCTTAGGTGTCCACCCCTGCGCCCTTGAAGTATGTTGCAAAACTCCTGAGCCTTTTGAGCAAGTTCCTTGGCTGATTAGAGTCTAGCACTCCCTGTCTATATAGTGCTTCCTTGTCCGAATGGTCACCCAAAGACGTTGGCATATCCTGTTGGAACCTTGGCCAACTACATACATAAGGGAGATGCATGGACATGTGTGATGTACCTTCGACAAACCGTATGAGAATAGATCTCGGATGGAAGCTACCGCTGCTGCTTGGTGGTTGGTGCTTGGGCTGAGCCGCTCTATTTGATTTGCAAGTACAGCACCCTGCAAGAATATTGGAAGACGTATTTGTTTGGCCGCGCCTTCAATGAAAGGTACCACAATCCTGGTATACAAGTGTTGGGTCGCCAGTCCCATAGGTACATATATACATGTATTTCCCTTTTGATTTTAATTTTGCTGCAGCTGTCTAGATAGATCTAGAAAAGATCACAATTGACACGTAAAATGAGTCCATTTCTCCAGTGCGATCATCTTTTCTCATCAGGTGCAACTATGTACCTAGAGAGCCAACGGGGCAGCTGCGACTTTGGAGGAGTGGCCTTGGTGGGCGTTGGCAGGTTGAAATTCTTTCAGCACCAGCGTTTGTTTGTTGTTCGAACATCCCGTTTTCGTACAGTGCGTGGGCTTCAACCACCGGCAAGTGTTTTCAGCAGATGCAAGAATTTCCATTTGGAAGAATCCCCATGATGTGGGTCGCGCCAACATTGAATGAGGCTATGCGACCCTTCCGGGGTAAAGTGGTGAGGTGGTGCAGGATTTCGTCCATCAACAGTATCATTTCATGAGCAAGACAAGATTGGTATTCTCCTTCTTGCTGAGCGCCAGGCCAAACCTCTTCTTCGTGTAGCAGTTCCCCGAGATGCTTGAGGATTTCTCGTGATCCATGGTACACCCAGACCTTCAACACCACGAGGCACGACATGGACGACATCCCCATCCCAGACATGTACCGCTCTGAAGGGGACGACATCCTTGGGACCGACGAGTTCGCCCCTTCGCAAGTCTCGACGAGTTCGCCCCTGCGCACAAATTGCAAAAGAGCTCTGAAGCGGAACAGTCCAAGTTCTTTTTGCAAAGACCAACATGATGCCCATGCCCTTCCAAGCCTAGACTTAAATGATTTGAAATGCATGGCATACATATACTTGGTATACTTGCAGCCTTTGAAGCACCTGAGCAAAATACAGCTGATGAACATGATGAGCGTGAACAGAGAGTAATGGAAACATGGTTACTAGCTTTTACAGTAGCTTCTGAAACAGTACAAGGCTGTCAAGAACTACACGCAGGAGTAGGACGTATTTTTGAGGCTTAGATCCATTGTAACCAGCAGCCTTGTTGAATACCTACCTTGTAGAATACTCATACAGACATCGCTTCAGTTTGTATTTTGATCAGATCAGCTACAGTGCAGAAGAGAACACAAGATAGGCAGCATGTTTGTTCAGGATACGTGATTCAACCCTCAGTTTTGATACCATGGGCCGCAAGCGTGGCGGCAATGAAGAGAGCAACTTGTCTTCCTTTGTCAAGCTAATGTGAGTATATGTATTTATATATTTTCCTTGCAAATTGTTCAATACAATTCATTGGCTTGGGTGCCCTTGCGCGATCAATGAACTTGTCAGCCACATATTCACCGGCACTTCCACTTCGGGTAAAGAATACTGACAGCCAAGGCAAGCTTTGCTGGCATTGCCATGGGCGTGGCCATGACCAAAAAGACTGCAAGGTACTCTTGTCGGGTGCATCCAGGTGGGAACGGTTGGTTTCAGTTCCAAGGTTAAAATTTGTTTCTTGCAAGAAGACGAGCAACAGGTGCTAGTAGTGGAAGGGATGATACATACGCATCAGTGACCCAATCATTGCCCTGAGGCATTGCTTTATTTGCAATTCCACGGAACACTTGAGCTCCTCAGCTGCAATCAGGTTCAAGTTGTTAGACCTGTTTTTTACCCAAACAGTTTACTGTTAGTTAGGGGTTCTCAATTCTTTCCTAGGTCCTAAGATGTGTCCGCCCTTTCTGTCACTGCTGGTGTCCGCCCTTTTCCGCTGGCCATGCAGCATTTCTATTCATTTGT